GGGACCAAGGGCGGTGTGGGATCGGAAGAGGGTGAAGGAGACCGGTCTTCTTGGCACGCGGAGTCTTGATCCTGGCACAGACCGGGCAAGCTCGGACGTACTCTGCAACATCAGATCGCATGGAAGGCCACCAGAAATCTCTGGTGAGTAGGTCCAGAGTGCGTCTGCACCCAGGATGGCCAGGACTGCTTCCGTCATGACTCTGCTCTCCGCAGCCGAATGCGGGTGTCCAGTTCAACCACCTGAGCGATTACCGATTCGAGAGAGCGGTTGTGAAGTGGCGAGAGCACCAGGTGGTCCTTTAGATCTTCAGAGAGACCCTTATAAAAAAGGCAAATCAGGGCTTCAGGGTTCCAGTCAGACTCCGTGGCGAGGGCTTGGAAGTCAGCCACATAATCATTCAGAGATCAATCACCCTGACGAAGCGAGGTGAACCAGAGATGAGTCAGGTCCGGGTTGACTGGAGAAAAACGTGCCTGGAGCTGGTCAGCAAAAAGCTGGAAATCAGCAAACTGAAAGTCTCCCCTAGCAAGCAACACAGCTGCCCAGTCCAGAGCCTTGCCAGTGAGCAAGGAAAGGGCGAAACCGATCTGCTCCCGGGGAGAAAAAAAATGCTCAGGATGCAACTGGAAAGTCAAGGAGCATTGCGCAATAAAACCCCTACAGCCCGCGGTGTTGCCGTCATATCTTTCCGGGAGAACAAAAGGTGAGGCTACGGGAGAGGTGGGCGGGGTTACAGGGATTGGAGCAGTGGTCTGTGCTGGAGGCGAAGGGACAGGGGAGGGCGGAAGGCTAGCGACGTGATTGGAGAGAATGTGAAGCGAAGATTGAAGCTGGGTGAGAGCTTGGGAATGGCGATTAAGAACTGAGCAAAAAGCTTGTGCGTCCGCGGGACCCATCTTTGGGATCAGTATTCTGTTAGGAATCCCTGGTGAGAAGATACACGGATCCTGTGCAGACGCAGGCACGGGTGATAGATGAGGCAGGCGAACAAAACCAGAACGAGAGGCAAGGTCGTAGTCAAAAGGCGAAAGGCAAGTCGTAATCCAGGAAGTTCACCGGTAGCAGACAGTCCGAGTTGAGAGGCGAGGTGCAAAGTCGAAAAGGCAGAAGGGGAATCCAGAATCCAAAATCCAGAATAAACGAGGTACGGGGAAAAACGCCAGGTAGAGCTCTCAAGGAGTAGACTCAATACCGAGCAGTGGGAAGCAGGTGAAGATGGTTTAAATAGCAGTGCGCACCGCATTGAGTGTGCGCAGGTGGTTTAACTCGTGCGGCGGCGTTTGTTAATAATCACCCGCTGCTGGGTCTGATTAGCTCGCTTACGCTTTGGTCTTGACTGCCTGGTGGTCGTGACACCCTGTCTAAACTGAAAAGAGTCAAAGAGGTAAATGAATGGAAGAAGAGATTGTAATTGCACTGACACTGCCTATTCCAGCTGGAGAATATCACCTGGTGTATTAAAAACAGCACTATTGTTAGAGAACCCCATGTCCAATATTTGTAGATTTGGAAACATCAACACCACAAAAACTCATTAAATTATATTTGCGTAATGGTTTTTTTTGTGTGCATCATTGAAATCAGTAGCAAAATTACAAGAAAAGTGTAGTAAAAGGGAAAAAACGTCTGATTTACTGTGATCTCAAACCTTATCCTCAGAGATGTACTGTAGTATAGTTTAGGAGAGTCCCCAGAAAGGCCTGGAAACATTTGAATGGTCTGTAAATTCCAGACTCGGTTTCGACCTGATCAGTGATGATGCGTTGTACGTTGCTTTACACTACTTGCTGTATTTGTATAAAGACGCTATTGTGAAAAAGAAAATAAAAAGGCGCACCTTCCTGGTAAGATTACGAAAAAAACTATAGTACTACTGTATAAGAAGCCGCAATAGTAGCAGCAGCAATGAGTAAAACCTCATGAGAGGCACTCGTATCATACTGTAGATGATAATTTGTGTACTGGCACCGTAATGTATGTAAAACTAGTGCCTAGCAGAAATTTTACTAATACACTTCTCGACAAAGTACTCTTCTACAGTATGTATATGCACTACTACTCTATGTATGTGGTAGCTTTTCGCTGACTAATCGGTACGCTACTTTCTGTTTTCGGTTTAAACCTCAAAGGCCAGGGTGCAGTGAAAAAGTGAACGTAATAGAAAATGGAAAGTAGTGATTTTTGTCTTTTCTTAATAGCTGTTTGTTTTCCTTTTATAATATTTTTGTGTTACGCTTATGGGTATTGTTCTCATAAATTATACAAAGCGGGAACTGTTGTATTTGACTATCAGAAGGACGTCCCTACTTTCTTGTTCTTGGTGTGCAGGTTTGTTTTGCAAGCTCTACGGAAGACACGGGGGCAACTTTATGACAATGATTTGCTTGCAAGAAATATAAACCAACTTACTTTCACTTTCTACAACTGCAGGTACAGTAGCTTATTGGCTAATTCCTACCTAGCTCGGACTAAGAAGCACCTTTAAAACACTTCTAAATTATGTCCATATTTTTTTTCCATCGGATAATTGAGATTTAAAACGTGTGTAGAGGAAATAGTTGTTAACATTTCTGTTCATGTTTAAGACGCATTGGGCGTTATTCATTAAAAAAATACTTTATGCCCATAGAGCACGTTAAAACGCTGGCACATCTTATTTTAATAAATTCATAAAAAAACTGTCAAGTTAAATAATGTTTTCATTAGTCTTTGCATCTTAATATCATTATGGAGAACTTACCTGCAAGCCTCAAGCAATCAAGAAAAGTCAGTAGGCAAATAAAAAAAGCACTGACAGAAACTAATTATCCTCGCCAGCATTTTAAGCAGGTTAAAATAAACTGGAGAACCCATGGGGAGAAATGTACGTTCCATATATACTGTACAGTAGTAGGAGGTACAGTACTGTATTTTAATCTACAATTGAACAAAGTACCCAAGAGCTGTGAGGTATCAGCATTCACTATCAAACCACTGTACTTCCCACAACACATATTGTAAACAATTATAATACAATTATGCCAGAATCTGTACATTAATCACGAATAAAGCAATATGAAACATTTCCAACAAGGCTCAAGTGTTACTACGAGCTGTTGTTGAGTAGGTGGTATGTCCCAAGCCAGGACCCGTATTTAACACTTTTCATGAATCATTTCAATGCTAAAATAGAATGGTCTGTTTTAGACAGCATTGCCTTCCATCACAATCAAGCATCTATCATACTGTAAACCCAATTTACAATCTAGGACAATTACAATGGAACTGTAGCAGCCTCTAATGCCATGGTAGAAAATGGTAGAATTTATTAATAGATTTATTTATTAGTTTTAAGCCTGTTTTGTACCACAGCATAGTTCAATAATGACAACAAGCAACTGGACTAATATCATGTGGCTACAGTGGCCTGCAGAAATCTAGTTATATCAACACACTTAAATAAACAGAAATAAAAAGTCAGGTTTGTTAACTTAATGCATGATATTGTAATCATTTTGTTAGTTATTTGTTCATTGTTAACCCTTTTTGTCTGAGATAAATAATTTTAATACACATTAAGATCATAAGGTAGTGTGTTTAAAACAAAACTGAATAAGGGCACTCATTGAAAACAAGCATTGTTTCACTTTTCTCATTTTGCAATCCTGGAAGCACCAATATACTGTTAACAACAGTAGCCAAGTCTCTCAACTTTTGCAGGCCAGGAAAAGACAATGTTTACACAGACATGCTAAATTAATGGAAACTGGCTGTCAAGGGTCCCTACTGAACCCTTGATGGGTTCATGGTAGAATCTGTGTTCAGTTCAAGGACCCTTAAAAAAGTCTATAGCAGCATCATTAGTCATTTTGGCTGCCTGCTTGTTGTACTCTATGACTTAATGTTTAAATTGCAAATGTTATGATAAGACACGAACAAGACAAGAACAAATCAGCACTGATGCTAATACCAGCATTTATTCTGCATCAATTAAGGAAACCAATTAATAGAAACATTGAAGTTGTTGAGAAGCCTAATGTTTTTCAACCAGCGTACAAGTCAGTTTCAAATGCAGTTAATCGCTGTCATTTGAGTGAACAATATTTCTTTCCATTGAAGGAAATAGAGCCTCTTAAAACTGTTGATTGTAGTTTAAAGTAATACAAAAAGTAGACAAAGAATATTATATGGAAACTAGAAGCTGTATTTTGAATTAGTTCTCTTTTACTGCCAATATGAAATAAAATGTGATTGCTACTGCTACACATTAGAGCTTCATAGCAATAAATGTTGAACATAAAAAACTGCTTCTTATAAATATAACAATTTTACAAGATTATCAGGAGGATGACAATGTTTTAGTAACTGACATTTATTGATCAGGCATGGATAAATTGATTATGCCGATTAGTATTTGTCATCAACAGGACTGGTCAACAGAAGGAGTACTGTGAATGTCACTGACTTGCACATCTTGTGGCCACCATTGGAAGCTGATCAGATGTACATTTATACAGATTTTTACACTTATTTGCAGAATCTGTATTGTGGGATAGTGTTCCATTCTTCTCTTAGAACTTCAACAGGAATGTGCCTGGTCCATTAGCCCTAGATGCCATTCTTCATTCCAGTTCATTCACATTACTGGAATGAAGTGGTGCCCTACTCTGCCGAACAGGGTATGTCAGGCAAAGCTGTCACATTCTCATCTTGCAAAAGCAGTTGCTACTCAAGCATTACAAGGACATGAGTTGTTCAGTCAGAATGTGGTCATCTCGCTGGAGGAAAGTGTAGTCTCAGGACTGTCATGCTGAGCTCTTTAGCCACCAGACGCACTCCCCCACAGAACTTTACACTTGGGTCTCCTTATCAATTTGTCTGTAGGCAACAATCTTTACACATGTCTGAGTCACACTCGCTGCTGTCCCTTGATTTATTCAGTACTTGACTCCACTGTTGGTGAATCCACCCAAGATGGATATCCAGACTCTGTTGTACTCATGAAATCAAGCTGTTATTCAATTGAGAAACAGGACACGTTACTAACTTTTTTGTGTGTTTCATTCTCAATTTTCAGTACGCTTGGCATTTAACAGGAGAAATCAAGTAAAAACCTGTGCCCAGTCAACACTAAAGAAATGACTGAGTGCTTATATACTGTAACGGTCAAAGTCACTTGAGCATCAGTGACAGTCATCAATAATAAGTTAATCACAATTATGCCAAAAACATTTAGTTGATATCCAGAATCTGTATACTTTACTATTTTACATATATGCATGCACAGATTGATACATTTCTATTCATGCCCAGTATTGTAGTATAAATATGAATATAAGTAGTTGAATGCTTTAAATGAGTGTCAGCTGAGATCTTTTTCATCATTCTGTGTGCTGAAGCATGTATGTGATTTTGGCAAGGCCATCTATTATCCATGCACTTCCAGATCACCATAATGTAACATTTTGACAATGTATGACAGTAATTTGGAGTTTTTGCTGTAACTGAAAGGTACAATTACAGGCTCTTCATCACTATAGGGTTGTGTTAAAAAGGTCAGGTTATGAAATAACAGCACATTATAATGGTTTTACAATGTACACATTTGATCCACAAATTTTCAAATACAGACCACATTTCCCAAGCAGTAAAAATAAAAAGCATTAAAATATGTAACTACTGTTCCACTATAGGTTTCCCTATTTGCACATGTGTGAATCAGATTAATTTTAGTTAAATAAAAAGGTAAAGAAAATATAGTACTGTATATACTGTAACATTAGTGTTGTGAGGGGAGTCTTTTACAATATGCATACTATAGGTTACAGTACTATGATATCCATAGTGTCTATCAAAGTGTACCATTACCTGCTTAAATGACAGTATACAAAAGAAAATAATTGTTAATATTCATTTACAGGCTGGAGCCCAACAACCTGAGATGGTACTGTAGTGCTTTTGGGTATGGGTGGGACTATCCTGACTCCAGTTTCAGAGACATCCCATTGTGTTACCCAGAAGTGCTCTTCTTCCGCTTGTTGGCAATGATTGTGTGCTCTGAAGAGTTCAGGTTAAGCCCCCTCGGTAAGGCTTTTGTATTATATGAAATGCATAGAACAAAGCTCTTGCTTTTCTTTGATTTCAGTAGCATAGCAAACAAAACTGCCAGCCAATTTTTGTGTGTAAATCAAACCATTGTGTAATTTGTCAGTTCAAAATCTTTTATTAACCTATTTTTTATGGGTTGGTTGGTGTGGAGTACAGTATTTACACAGTTAAGAAGTACTTTAAAAATACAATATATTTTATGGTTCTAAGGAAATATAGTTGACAGAGGTTGAACTGTGAACTGTAGCTGATAAAGCATACAAGAAAACAGGTTCTGATTGTGCTAAACTGTCATGCTTGGCAGTGGAGGAACTGATCAGACAGATGAGAATATCTAATGTGCTTGTCCTGTTTTAATCCGAAATCGCTGTTCGTATTTGACTGGCACTGCAGGTTTCTCTTTCTTCAATTCAACTTTATTTGTTATTATACTTACACAGGTGTATAGTATAATGAAAAGTGTTTCTCATTAGTCTCTCAGGTGCAGTATATACAGAACAGCAGACAAGACAATAGACAGTAAATACAATAACAATGTAAACAATGAGTATGGTACTAGTATTACAGAACCCATATCTGTTAAAAACTGCAGAAGTACACAACAGAGCAAACTGCAAAATAATACAGAGTTATCAAATAGTACAACTCAATCAAGTACAGTCTTATGTTCAAGTTTGGCTTACATTCAGTTGTCGGAGGTACACTATGGTGTATGTAGCGGTGTAGGAGTACAATCGTTGTTTGGTACAGGAAGAAGTGAAGAGAGATCATAGTTTGGTGGGTGGGAGTGGGGGGCTCGGAGGGGCTTATCAGCTTTACGGCTATAGGGAAGAAGCTATTTCGGAGTCTTGTTGTGTGCGACTGGATCACCCAGAACCTTCTACCAGATGGTAGGTGGACGAACAAGTTGTACGTGGGGTCAGTCAGAATTTTGCTGTCTTTTTTCAGACACCTGGTGTTGTACATTTCCTGGATGGATGGTAAGGCAGTTCTTCAGGTCAGATTGTGTTCAGATCCCTTATACATGCAGTAAAGGGAATTCATTTAGGCCAGAGAAGAGGAAACGCTTCTTTTCTCAAAGAGTAGTAGGTGTCTGGAAATGGCGTCCCTGCCTGTTGGTTGGTACCAAACTACCAAATGAGCAAGATGGGCCAAATGGCTTATCAATTTATAATGGCCTCTCTAATTTGTAGATCTCTCTTGTCTTCTAGTGAAATAAATTGTGGAAATATGTTGTGCAATGCTTGCAGTGATTAAAAACAGAACTGCACATGGTCTAACTAAATACTGTACCATGCTTTTTGAGCATTTCATATTACAATAAAATATGTTTTTTGGTAACTTGATATTCAGTTGTTAACATTTTGTTACAATTATTTGTATTTTAATGAAGTAATTTATATACTTTTTTGTACATTTAATAAAGCACCTTGTTGTAGTGTGATACTGTAGATTGTTTTCTACATTTATGTGTAGAGTAAATCCTCAGTTTAACAGTCTTCAGAAGTCTGAATAGAAAGCATAAAAGTAAATCAGTCATAAAATAGATTTAATGTAAAATATTGTTAAGTTCATGTACTGACATCTTTTGTACAAAATACTTTTAAATAGGTCTAAAAGACATGAATAATAGACGTCGTTTGTGTTTTCATATACTTTAGGGAATTTTGTACAATATATTTATGACACAAGAAATAACTTGTATATTTATGATAAAAAGGCACAGGAACAATTTTACTGACTGTGTTGATTGCAATTGGTAGGAAATCAGTTAAAAAGCTCAGCATGTACATAAAAATATGCTGTGTATTTCTCATATGATAAAATGAACATTAAGCAATATTGGACACCCCTTCCCAGCTTTTTAGACTGTTAAACTGAACATTTAAGTTTATTAGCTGAATGCTGGCATGTCATTGCTCATGTGGTCTGATGTTCATGTTATTATTTCTTAAAGAATATACTGAAGCATTTTCCACAACACATTTTTATGAATAAGCTTGAGAAATAATTTGTTCAATAACTGCCACAAAGCATGCATGTTCATGTATTCTGGCATGCCTAGAGTTTCAGAATGTTATAAAGACTCTAGGATAACATAGAAGAAGATATGACATAGAAGTATTAAAAGTGTCCAGTGTTAGAAATGTTATTAAAGAACAAAAGAAAAGTATTACTTGTAAAATGTCACTGTTTATATTTATTTTTAAAACCTAACACATCATTTTATTGCGTACTGGATATACTACCCTATCGTTTTATCCTTTGTTACCTGCATCGTTTCTGTACAGTCTTTTTAACTTTAAAAATGTCTTGTTTCACAGGGCTCACCAATGTACGTAAAATCATGAGAACATTGCAGCCAATAGACGAACTGAAGAAAGGTCCCTTTTCCCTTCAGGCATCTGTGAGAGAGTACAGAACTGTAGAAGTGGGAATAGAAGTGGATATTGCTCTTGACGTGACGGATAGAGCCAGCAAGCCCGTGTGGGCAGGGCTTGTGACATTGCTCTCAAGAGACACAAAGAAACTAAACAAATGGCAACCGGCCTGTGGAAGTCATGGTAAAAAGGACAAATTTAGCCACCTCTCTGTAGCATACTAAGAACAACAGAGTACAATGCATTACCAAGTTCATTGTATAGACTCCACAGCACAAAATGTTAGCATTTTTCTAATTATTTCAAATAAGATTTTTGTGGTTTTATGTTTATCATGTTTTAATTGAACTTATTTATTACTCACTACCACAGTTTCAGTGTTTTCTAAATTAGCTCAAATTAAAATACTACAGAAGTGAATTACAGCATACTGTAGGTGCAAATTGGCTTCCATAATATATTTTCCATACTGGTAAGTTGATAAAGCATGATACGAAAAGGACTTCTGAAAGCTCATTACAAATGTGATGGATGAGCAAATAGTTAGAAAACAGAATCCCAAGTGTGAAGCAGTGAAGAAAGACTTGTGCGGTAATACTGTTTATTCACCTCTTTCACCCTTGTTGAATCTAAACAAGATTATTTTTGCAGTACTTAATAATCATCTACAGGTAAGTAGGCTCAAGTCAGATAATCTTTAAGAGCACTTTGACAAGAGCAATTGAGCAAGAAATAATAATACAGTAAAACTGCCAGATTAGTCTTCAATCAGTAATAGTGGATGAACTATTCAGTTTGAGTAGGCATTTGCTACCTCAGTTCCTTCTGCTCTTTAAATGGTTGCTTAAATGAGTAATTAAAATTCTTTAAAGAAACAATAGAGGCCACTGTAGTTGTTCATTTGTTTCCTCACAAATTTGTATTGTATCTCACACCTTAAAAAACATTTAGTTTTATGCAAAATGAACTTGGTCTCTCTTCCTTGAAAATGATCATGTAACAACATGCTGTGTGACCAATACTATAGTTGGTGACATGGAGAAAATGAAATAATTGTGTTAAGATTACTATTTATGTGTCATGTCTGATACATCATTCTTGCAAATAATACCCTAAAAATGTTTACCACAGAGTTAACCTATTTTGGTGTTTTATGATTTCATTTTTCATTTGGTCACGGGTATTTAATTTCTCATACATATTCCTTGATTAATAGAATACCTGTAGGTTAGGAAATTCCCACCTAAAATGTTTTAATGAGTAAAATACATTTCAGACTTACTGTATATTAAACATTTAATTATTGCTGCATATATCTACAAAGGCAGATTGGCTTGAGTATTTTGATACTTAAGTAAACCAGCATGAGTTTACACACAAAAAAAATATTCAGCATAGTGTACAGTAGGTGTATTGCACCTCATTAAAACAGTAATATGTTATGAAAATGATAATAACAAGCTATATTATTCAACTAGAGTCAGATATATGAAAAGTTTTGTTCACAAGATAATTCTATCATTTTTATTGTTTTCGTTGAAATAAAAAAAATGCACAAGTGTGCAAAAATGAACAACACATAATGGAAACAAATTCATAAAGGTATTTAATTTGCTAAAATATACTGATCCTCTTTGGTATTTACATTATTGTATACAGTTCCATTGTAAAACATTATAATAATGCCTATTTTTTGCATTAAGAGCACAATTACTGTACTTATTTTAAATCTTTTTTTTCTTTCATTGTAGAGCCAAAGGAAGTGAAAACAATTGAATTAAATGTCCCTTGGTACACAGGACTGAAATGTGCCTATGCTTCCTGGAATTATAATCCACATCATCTCTTTTCTTCTATTACTAAACTCCTTGGCTACAAACATCCTACAGTTCATAGCTTGTGGATGATATCCAGATGCTTGGCTGAAATAGAGAAACATGAAGGTAACATTTCATTGCTCTTTTGGTTGAAATAAGATAAAAAATGTGAGCTTTTGAATACTGTATTGGTAGCCAAACAATTAACCTAGAAAAGGTTGGTTTTTCTTGCAGTTTCAAACAACACACATTTCATGTTTCTGAAAATCCTTCAGAATTGGTGGTGGACATTTTGCTATGCATGGCAGGCAAAATTAAGGGAATCGCTGTAAAGAAATAAAAAAACTGGATCACAGATTCATACAATTATCCTCTTATCCACATGGATATTATAACACTGGATATGCTTTTACCTGACACATACTGTACATGTTCAGCTGTTAATTTTGCCACTCTGTAGGCTATAGTCAGACATCTTTCAGAGTTTGCAGTAAGGAAGACAAGATCACCATGAAAAGCTTAGCAGTGCAATCAGGCATTAGCTCTTAAAGATGTTAATGAAAAGTGTACTGCAAGTGTGTTACCATGACTAAACGCGATACCCAGTCATAATACAATTATTTATAATTACACAATAATTTTGAAAAGCTTTTACCTTTTCAGAGATGCATATAATCTGAATTACACATAATTATTGCATTACACACACTATAATACAATCGATTTCAGTCGCTCTACGATTCACAAAACGGAATAATGCATTTATACAGTAAAAATAACTTATAATCAGCAGTAATCAGATTCTTTAAAGTTTTTTAGTAGAAAAACTATTAGACTTTATTTTAAGGAAATGTGGTTTTAACCTGTTGCTGATAATAGTAAGAATTCATTTGGAATTACAAAATGTGTGCCAAAGTTCCTTAATTGGCTTGCCATGTGTTAAGTATCTTAAATCGTGTAATTCCATGATTTCATCTGAAGAAATTTAAGCAGAAAAATATTGCTGAAGCTGGATTTATAGTCTTAAATATAGTTTTTGTATTGTAGGCTAAATCTTTCAAAATAAACTCTGTTAAAAGACATCAATATGTAAAAGACAACATCACTTTGATAGCGTTAATGTTGCATTGTAAATAGCCTTCTTAACATTTGGAACAAATTCTGACATTTAAAAATGAATTACTTATGAGCATGTCTTCAAAGATTTCGTCTGGCATCTAATGCCACTTAACTGCAGTATTTTATTACTGTTTATTCCATATCCTCTTAGACTGCCCTTTGATTCCTCGTAATGATGATTTATTGTTGTGGTTTTATTGCTTCAACAGTGATTTAATTAATTTAATTTGTAGGGGTTGTTGCTGTCAGTGCCCCTGTCTCTGTGGAAGTGGATTTTAAGCAGCCATTGCTCATGCCTGGGAAAGCTGTCATCAAGTTCTGGGAAACTTCTCCAAAGGGCTGTACTTCATCTCGCAAACTCTACCACTTCAGAATGGAAGAAAGTGAACTGCAAATACCTCTTCTAGAAGGAGATGTTACTGGTGTAGAAAGTAGCTCTTAAAACAGGGATCACAACACTACTGTATATCACAATTAAAACAACAAGGCGGTCTGGACAAGTTCTTTGGTCTCAGCTTTTGGACGAGTTCTTTGGTCTCATTGGAAATAAGAAGCTTGCATTTTCCAGGGATAATTACGGTATTTTTCCACACATTCCTTGGTAGCTAGATGTCTCTCTGCCAGAGACATGAATTCATTCACACTTTGAGGGTTACCTTGTCCTATTCTGTGTTTTAGGGAGAAGACTTTACAAGTATGTGTCGAGAAGTAGGATTTCTACTATTTTGACAGCAGTATTAGTCTTGGACTGTAGTCGTTTTCTATCCATGTGTATACTGTCAAACATCTGGGAGTGAGATGGAATCCCAGGTATACATTTCCAAGCACAAAATCGATTGTGCTTTTTAGTTTCTGTGGATAAGAAAGAGGCTACTTTTTCTTATGGTCAATCTTGTCTCTCATCCGTACTGTATGTTCAAAAGCCTGTAAATAGGTCTCTAAATCATCCATTGACATCATTATGTGTAGAACATGTATTTCCCAATTCAGGGCATTTGTACAGATTTGGTTGTGTCCATGACATGGAAACAACAGTAGCATGAAAACCCTTACAGGTTGTACTGTCTTTTATAGAGAGAGAAATCAGTACTTTTTGGTGCTGCAGATTTCTCTACCTTCCCCTTACAGAATGCTCCAGATATCTCTGCTGGTTGCTTGATTTGATTTCTTGTAGTTTTTCCTGACATTTAACTTCTTTCATCTGTAAATGTTTTTGGTTTGATTATTCAGCTTTTCAGTATATCTATGGGATATACCCAATTATGTCATTAATTCTTTAACTCTATTACAAATACAAATTTTAAAATGTTAAAAATATTAGAGTTGAATATTAAATAAAGTTAAAATGTCATGGACCTTGATAAATACAAGTTTACCTAGATGGCATTGCTTGTGTAATTTTGTGTATCTAGCAACCTGTTTTGGTTGATTTTACAGTATGTGAACATTTGATTAAATCCAACTAGTACTTTCCAGTTATTTTTTACTTCCATTTAGGAACCTATACATGTTAATAGACCCTGAATGTCACTGCTAATTGGAACATGTGTGGGAAAAACAAGGGTGTGCATACTCAATAATCAAACATTTTCAATAATTGATAGTGTTTCACAAAAGATATTGAAAGTAAAGTGAATGACAGTCATGCATTTTTGCATTTTAAACAGAGGTAATGTTTAGGTAATGGATTGTAATTATCTAATCCATGTAAATATTTTTGTTTCAAGCTTCTTGTACAAAATCCAGGGAAGTAAACCCATCTTTAAACTATATTGCTGTTGTATACTAATACTAAGCAAGGATATGTAGCTACAGTACAAGATGCTCCTGCATAGACTTCAGTAACACTAATATTAGATTAATTTCTGCAATATGGGTAAGAATCAAATCCTAAAACAACACAAGGATTATCAATTTCTATGCTGAATACATGGGGAGTAAAGCTTTGCATGTATTGCATTACAGTATATTGCTATATCATGCTTTTATTACCTAAAATGTTCATATATCTAGAAAAATTCTAATAAAGGCAAAAAATGACTTAACATATCCTTCAATTGACCTTTCTTTGACATTTTGACTTAGACCTTTTACCCATACTTGTGCGTATCCAAGTCTAGACAATGCTTGGGAAATGGCTGATGTACAGTACATTATTAAACAAGCATTGGACTCAAGTGCTCTGTGATGAAGGGCTTTTGCAGTCTTTGGTGGCAGAAAAACTTCTAATGGGGGGCTTGATATTTACTGTATCCATGGCAATGAATAGTAAGATTTTTGTGTTGATGTTAATTTAACCAGATTAAACCAGCAGTATTTGATGACTGTAGGAGCAGTGCAGAACTATCACTATGATGTAATTTTAGGGTCAAATTTGCTTTGTATTCTGTCAATGTTGCCATGAAACAGGATGTGCACAAAAGCATTTCAGCTAGCTCTAGAGTAGCAGCAACCTCTTTTTGCAGATGAAGCTGAATTAGAAGAAGAACAAAAACAGACTATTAAACCACGGAAATCTAAGAATCTGGTCCTCTTTGAGTATGTTTCTGGCACTCAATGTACTCTGCACTCTGCTTTAAACATACTGTACAATATGCTCATTTCCCGTTTATTGAATCACAGAAAACTGATAAAACATTTGCTCCATTTTTTAACTGGTACTTGCGGTAAAGCAAAAGTTGACAGTTGACAATAGATGCAAGTTTGTGATGGACCAGGGTTTATTGTTTAGGATTAGTGAGGATGGTAAAAAGCTTTTGGTGCCTCAAGCTGAATGAGAGAAAGTGTTGTGCTTGGGACATTCTGTTTCTTTATATTTCTCTATAAATCTCATCTATTCAGGGCATTTAGGAAAAGTGAAAACATATCATGTATACTGTAGCTGCTGGAATTTGTGGACAGGAATGTACAAAGACATAGTCAAGTGTTGTAAATCATGCATCGCCTACACGTACACGTCCCTTTGTAAGGGTTAATATAAAGTACTGTACCACTCCCCACTGTTGATATTATGTTTGCACATTTATGCAATGGACAGTGTTAAAATAAGAACATTACAAAACCAGTATCTAATTTGACCTCCATGACTATGAACAATATCCTGGCAGTATTGCATAAACCAGATCATTTGCTGTGGAGTGTTCTGCCACTCTTCCTGGGAAGCTGCATCTAGAAGGTTCTGCCAGTAACAGTTCACTTGTGTTGATAGCATTGCTGAATTGGTCTCCAAATGTTGCATTGGACTGCGGTCAGGAGAGAAAGCTGTCCATAGCATTTTTCCGCACAGCTTTGTACTATTCAATTGCATGATGTTTTCAAAGATGTTTGTCAATGGACCAGCAGGGTCTCCTTTAATTTAGAGAATTAGTAAACAGCAGCAGATGAAAAAGAATGTGTAAAGGTTTCCCTGCTTAACATTTTACCTTAGTACAAATCTGGTGGGTAAAAACAAAGATGTTTTCCATCTTTGCCTAAAATCCTTCAAGTTATTTTTACATTTTTATTCATTGAAATTCAGCCATTTCAGGTTTTGAAAGCATCCAGCAGAGCTGGAGATAAAGAAGATCAAAAAGTGCTTTCATACTGTACATGGACAGCTTCCTTATAAAATGTATAAAGACTTTCCTTTGCATGATTACCTGTATGTTGAAAGGATGTCTCTGTGTAAAATCTTTTTCGGCACCAGTTTACGTACATCACAAAGCTGTCTCATGTCAGTTTACTTAATACAGTTAGCCTTTGAACATTAAAAAATGTAATGCTTTTTCTGAATGTGAAATTTCATAGCATTACTACATGATGCGCTTATCCAACTGCTTAAAAGCACTTTCATAGTAAGCCCATTATAGGACTGAAAGTTAGTCAAATCATGTACAGTAATGCTCTACAAAAGCATTTTCTTTACCTTTTTTCATAGTGTTTGTTTTGAAAATAATTTGTAATGTACTGTATAAAATTGTACAATTAATTTATTTTTCTTTAAGAAAGGTGTTTTTTTTTTTCAAAAAGTAAAATAATAAATTTACACTATGGCTAAAGCATTTATAATTATCTTTAGATGTTATTAATGCTGTTTAATAGTTTTTAAACACTATTTACAGATAGGCTGGTGGATGCACAGCAATACTGTTGATTATTTTTTCTGTTTCTAGGTTCTTGTAGCCCCGAACTGATATGAGAGACCTGTGCCTGGTTTTTAATTTATACTACTACTTTAATAATCATTTAAGTAGCTGTAAGTGAAGAGGGATCATACATTTTCTTGATAGATCAAATCAAGGTTTTGCATATTATATATCTGGTTTCTCTCAAAACAATGTTTATAATAATTTTTAAAGAAAATACCTACTGTGTACAGGAGATCTTTAGTATACATTTATGTGCAATTCTGAGGCTACCAATATTGTCCAGTCTTTTTATACATTATTTAAACATTATTTTCGAACCTCTTCTATAACTAAGAAGAATGTAACTGTTATAAGAAGACAAAATGATTAATCTTTAAATACTTAAACTGATCTATCAAAAAACACACACTACCTAATTAAATGCATGTGGCACCCGGATCTTGATACTGTATGTCATCCTTTAGAAAATGTTAAATGTTAAATGAATTCATAACTTTTGTGATTATGGGATTCTCTATTGTTGACCGGTGCATTAAGAGTTACATTTTTTATATAATATATTAAAAAATTATCAATATTTGATATTTGATATTTTTATATAATAAGAAACTGAATCATTTCAATAAAGTTGGATGTTACCTGGGACAGTTTTTGCAAAGAATAGGGACCATAAGCTTGTCTAGAATTAAGGCACCATGTTTATTGTTTCGCTTTAAAAAAAGCTTTTTGCAGAAATATTTAGAAATGCATTCATATTAACAAAAGGTTTATTCAACTTTAATAGATTTTGTGCATTTATTTTTAATGAATTGGTATTTAAATGTAATGCTTTAATGCATATTCCAAACTCTTCTCAAAATGAGCTGTAGTTATACATTGAGACATATCAATAGATACTTTTGAAATGTGTACAGGCTATAAATACCCTGTCAAAAACAATAATCATTTCTCTCCCAATATGTCAGTCTAAATACACATATTAATATACATATAACATTAATATAATAATGCTGGAAAATATGTCATCCTTTGATTTTGATGGCATATTTGCTGCTTCTGTGAAACAACCTGCATCTGTAGTATAAGGAATCCAGTGGGTAATATTTCAGGACAAAACTATCTCTTACAGATGGCTGAATCTAGTTGATATTTATCTTCGTTTTGCATGTTTCCATGTTCATTTCCCCAGGGGCTATGCTGCAGCTACATCAGTGATTTTTATATCATACTCAAAATACACAATTATGGAGCATAAAATCTTAATTATAAATACATACTTTTCTCTGAAGTATAAGTAGTATGAAGAATGTTTCAGTCTTTCAAAATGTTCAGTTCAATGTTTTGAATTACATTTTGTCAGCTGCCTCTGAATAAAACACACACATCTCAATGTACCGTATGACGTGTTAATATTTCACTACTAGTAATTCTATTGACATTCTAAATAGATACAAATTACAAAGAGCTTTTATGATTTTTCTCTGCAAATATGGAGACCATATCACATTTTTTATGACAAGTTTATGACAAGCAAAAAAATGATTTTTCACAATACATACAAAGCTGTCTCTAACTGTACACTTAGCTTCAGCTATATAAAAATAAGCTTAATTTTCTGCTTCACACGGTACAGTATATAAATATACAGTCTAGTAATCACAATCCAGCTAATCAGTTTAAACATTCATGCATTAATACCAGTTTAGAATGCATCAGTATTTAAAAATAACACACACAATGTGTATTTACAATTAGAAATAAGATAGCTCATAAATGTAGACTAATTAGCACAAGGTCACAATCTTGATTAGTATCTCTCTATATATTATTCCATATTAATATATTTTTGATCCACAAAGCTTAATGTAGTTCTTCTCCTTTTATATAGAAGTAGGTCTTTTTATACTTTCAGATTATGAAGGAGAAATAAGGGAAACAACTTTCCTTAATTTGTTTTACAGCCTCTAAAACCGCTCTTGTGAGACTTGATGTCATACCATTATGCCATAAGATTTATATTTGGAGCCCCCTACACACACTCATCATTGTGACCTTTATTCTTTGATTGATTTGCTCTCTCTGCTTACTAGATGAATGCTTCACTGCTTTAAATTAATCTACAGATCTTTAATTGGGAAAACACCTCCTTAAATTTATTGTCCTTTGTGCCATTTCATAGTTGAAGATATAGTACCTTTACCAAACGGAACCTCCCAAGAGCAGCTGCCAACCTGGAGAAAGCCATTTCAATTGCCTACTGCAGTGTAAGAGGGGCTTTAATGTTTCAGCTTGGAATAAGAAGGAGCATCTAGTTAGGGCCTACTCTTATTTCCTCCCATGGACTTTTCTTCTGAGGAGAAACTCATGTTTGTCATGTTGTTCATTATGGGGGAAGGTGGTGACAATGGTACTCCTTTCAAAAGAAAGATTAAAGATTTCACCTCTGTTATGCTTTCTCTTTACCTTTGTTTAATACTGTATCTTCTATGTATTCTTAATTTGTTCAAGATATGTCTTGTGCCCTACGTCATTGGTTGCTTTTGGGAGGTTCAGTTCACTTAAACTACCACCTGTAGGATGGTTGCAATAATTTAATATATTTTTAAATAAAAATCTTTAAATTAATTTAAGAAAATAACTAGTTTGTAGAGAAGGACAATCAATCAAATGATAAGGGTCACAATAATGATTGTGAAGATAGGTGCCAGTGATTAATCAGTTTAAAAAGGACATTCCATAAACCATAAACCATAAAGCCATATACTGTAGACTTTATCTTGCTGGTTATCATTACGGGTTTTAAAAGTTAAAGCCTTATCCAACCAGACTCCTAAATACATATAAACTATTGTTCTAGTGACGGTACAGGTTGTGAAAGAAATCAGTCAGATTTTACACACTGTAAGGTTTATGATTTAGAAAGAAATTCTGGAATCATGGTAATGGGATCAAGACCACTAGTATAAAAGTTTTCCATAAGAATTATGTGATTAAAGATTATGCCATGAGTGTAATTTTTGTTGGGATCCTTTACATTGAAAATGTTCAAGTCTGCTATAACATGTTTTATGATTAGAACAAAAATCACACTGAATATCAGAGGTAATAGCCTTCCCTAAAGGTTCATTTAGTTACCATTCGTCTTTTCCTTTCCGTTGTTTCGTACCTTAAATGCTAACCCCTATGTTTTAGAACTTGAAAACGAACTATAGTCTTACAGATGATCAAATTCATATTTATTTTAACTTATCAACTTCATTTCATTAGAAACAATTTTGCATTTCAAAATAAAAAAAATGTTCATTGGTATTAACTAAATTAATTTGAACTTCAGTTAAACTATTAATAAAACTGCAGAGTCATAAATGCATTTTATTTGCATCTGCTCATGTCTTGGCAGGTTGCATTAGGCGTATAGTTTATGTCCTGTATCCATTTGTGTAAAAACAATTGGCTTCAATTTGAAAGTCAAACTGCAAATGCTAATTACAAGCATATTGCATACATCAAAATATAAAATTGCTTGAAGGAACTTTAATGGGAAAGGTTTTGTTTCTTATGTGAAAAGGTCAAGAATAAATAAGAGTTTGAGAAAATCTTTCTTAAAGTCTCTGAAGCTATTCATTTTGTAACTGCTGTTTGAAAAACAAAACATTGTGTAATTTCAGTGAATTAATCCATTCATACATTTTATAATCTCTTTATCCAATGCAGGGTCACAGGAGATCTGGAGCCTATCCCAAACAACAGGTACAAGGCAGGATAGATCCTGGACAGGACACCAGTCCGTCATAGGGCACAGACAGACACAAGCATGCATCCACTTACACCCAGAACCGACCGGTTCTGCCTTTGGACTGTGGCAGGAAACCAGAGCATCAGGAGAAAACCCACACAAACACAAGGAGAACATAAATAATAATAACATCGAATGTAGGGCCCAGCACTGTGAAGCAACAATGCAAACCACCTCACCACCATGCCAGCGAATTAATATATTGTGTAAATCACAGTTTGGAACTGAATTTTATTATAGTTTAAGTATTCAGAAACTGAAAATAAACTGAGGGTCTTGAGGATGGCTTACAGTACTTCTTCTTTGGGGATAAAAACAAATCTAGTGAAATGTAATATTAGTAGTCATTTTAACCAAGATGACACACAGAAAAGATGTACTATCTATTATGAATTTTAATGAGCCCATTTCCATAATTATGTACCCTTTTCAGAAACCCTTTTTTTTTAGTATACGTAAATACAGTACAGTATACTAAAGGTAGCTAAACCATTTTGATGAGTCATGATAAAGGTGAAATAGCTGTCCCTATCTGCTAACTTTAACTCTCTTCAGATAGTTGCCATTGATGTGAAGTGGGTATGAAATATTTAAAACAAACAACATAAGCCTTAAAAGTTTTCCTTGCAGGAATTTGATCCTAATATCTGTCTGGTTACAGGATATAAACATGCACACAAAAATATGTTTTAAATATTTTTCCAACGCACACGCTTCCCTGCAGCAGCATTCTATGTTCAACCAATTCAGGAACCTAAGGCAAAAGATCATCTGTTTTCTATTCACACACCTGGGACGTTAGCAGAAAACTGCTATCATCAGTTTAATTCATGAAGCCAAATTTACCATGGTTTTCAATTGACTTAGCATGAGCATCTCGATATTACAGTCATTTGTCCCAGTAATGTATAACTTTTTACATGGCAAAATGCATGAAATGCAGTGAACATTTTTAAAGGAAACTAATTGTTGAGTGAAAGTCATACT